GAGAGAGAGAGAGAGAGAGAGAGAGAGAGAGAGATTAAATTATTACGATATCAAATTCAATGACATACACAACCCCTCCAAACGCTTTATATCCCTCGCGGCTCTGATGTAAAAATAGCGACAAATAAACACTAATATCAACAAAAGTATTGCAAGAAATATGAAAAACCAATTGACGATTGCATTCAATATAAGACTTCCAATGATTGAACAAAAATGCTGTGATTATTAATAAAAGTGTTGGCGTTAGAAATGATTATAAATGCTATAAAATTTGTGTAATTTACTGTACAATAATGAATTCAAAGATAACCGATGGTAAAATTTCGTCCACAATTCCCGTGTCCTTTGAAAATCTGTTTAGTATTCGGCCTAAAAATTATTGTTAAATGAATTGATTTATATTATTAAAATGATAACAAAGAGCATTATAAGTGTTACCAATGGGTGAACTCTCAAACAAATGTATCGGTGATCGCAATAACGCACAGAATATTTGGTTATAGAGATTAACCGAAGATCTCATACACATTATGTAGAAACAAATGGTGGACAACAGGGCCGACACAAACAGACCACAGGTAAGACACGTGTAGATAATTGTGTTGAATGTCTGATCCACTTCTTCAGGGTTTTCACTCATTTTATTAGTCCTAATATATTAAATGAACTTAAATTAAAGCAATTTTCAAATAATAATAGCACTGACCATAAGCTTAACCAATAAACACTCTCTTGATTGAAAATTTGCGAAGCGATTATAAATATAATGGTAAGTGTTACGAGCAGAGGTCCGGCGCCGGCATTAATGTACGCCAAATAAACACTGGATTCAACGGATCCAATCATTTTGAGTTCGGCCTTTACTTCCTGTTCGTCCACTTCTTCCGCTTCCCAAACTTCCGTCACTTCCGATCCCTCACTAATGGTTGAGACCATCGATGGTGTGACAGATGTCCTACTCTTCACAGCTCTGGTATCATTTAGTCCATCGGTTTGTCTCTGATATGCCATGAGATCAATGCCGCGCTCTTTGAGCTGAGTGTAGGACCCGATGGCCACACACTCGCCGTCGTTGAGCACAAGTATTTGATGCGCGTCTTTGAGAAACTGTTCAATGCCGCGCTCTTTGAGCTGATGGTAGGACCCGATGGCCACACACTCGCCGTCGTTGAGCACAAGTATTTGATGCGCGTCTTTGAGAAACTGGATGCTATGCGTCACTAAAATAGTCGCCTTGTCTTTCAGGTACTCAACACAACATCTGATCAAATGGTAAACACATTAAGCATTTTGTCATTTGGACAATAAGTTATACTTTTGGTAGATATGTTTGGCCACACGTGTGTCGACAGCGCTCAGGGGGTCGTCCAAGAGGTAGATGTCTGCCGAGTGGTACAGAGCCCGGGCCAGACTCAGCCTAGCCTTCTGTCCGCAACTCAATGCCAGCCCTCTCTCCCCCACAAGTGTTTTGTCCCCAAATGGCATGAGTTTAAAATCCCGGTCCAAAGCGCACGCCTTCACCACTCGATTGTATTTCTCTTCATTATATTGAGAGCCAAACAGAATATTCTGTCGAACACTCGCTATGAAAGCCCACGACTCCTGCGGCGCGTACGACANTTCACCACTCGATTGTATTTCTCTTCATTATATTGAGAGCCAAACAGAATATTCTGTCGAACACTCGCTATGAAAGCCCACGACTCCTGCGGCGCGTACGACACCCGACCCCTCACTACCACACGACCCGACACTAGCGATATCTCATTCAGTATTGCCATTAATAATGAGCTCTAATTTTAATAAATGATAATTATAAATAGTAATTATAATATAAATAATATATTTTTTTATAATTAATATATGAAAACCCATACCTTTCCACTACCAACGGATCCGACGACAGCCAACAGTTGTCCGGGTTTTACACTCAGACTAATGTCCCGAAGCGTGGGTTCAGTCGTCTCCTAATGTATTCATAAAACTTTAAATAGGTATTGAAAGGCATAAAAAAATTCATACATTATTCCAACGAACGCTCATTTTATGAATGAAAACTCCGTTTTCTTTAGTACTGAAATTGTTTATAATTTGTTTTTCATGTTCTTCTAAAACACACGACCCGTTCATCCCTTCCCTTTCATCCAAACCACTCATCTCTTCGAGTAATAAAAATTCCTATTTTTAATAAACGAGATACAAATTAAATAATAAACCTTATTAAATTACAATATAATATACCTGCATACGTTTGATTACTACAGTAATTTCACCCAGAGCAGCAACGGCCATGGGTGCGTTCTTCCCTATACTATTACGGAATGCATTAAAGTAAGCAATAGTGGCAAAAGCTGTCTCCGCCGACAACAGGCCACCCGTCAGTACATATGTTAGAAAACAGGCGTATATTATAACCCGTATTAACACAAAATTAATCGACTGATTAATGCCTTTCAAAAAGTTTGACCATCGGATTTGTTTCAATTCAGACCTGATGTACAGTATATTATTGGTTTACAATATTTTTTTGTATATAGTCTGCCCTAAATATAAGGGATATTTTGGGCAGCTCAAACTGTGTCCCTTATATCGATGTGTGCTAAAATTGTAACGGTTTGTACGGTATGTCAAAAAACAATCTGTTATATTTGAATCACTTTTCTATTACAGTCCACTATATTGAGGGCAGACTGTATTATATCAATTATGGCATTACTTGCGAGCGGTTGCGACCAATAGTGCGAAGGGCTGTTCCCAGGCGTACATCTTTATGACACGCATTCCTGCGATAATCTCTTGCATTAAACGGATTCGACTGTCAGTTATTTTGGCCGTCTTTAGGCGTATATTACGAAACATACGACCCATTAATGCCTGAAATGGTATAAACAGCACCATTACTGTCATACCGGCAAAACACGCCCACCGAAGGTATGGCCACAATAGGTATAACACAATTGCCGCCTGCAGTGGCGCCACAAACAATGATCGCGAAATTATTGTAAACTATTTTTTTCAAAATCATAACATCATGATTACTTACTACTTAATTTTAATCATTAATATTTAATTCAAAACCTAATACCTCATCAAATCTGTGGACATCGTTTGACATAATGTTTAATATCTGGCCAACGGTTGTCTGTCCGAGTGATGAATGACTTAAACGCATTGACTTTTTTTTATAAATGTAATTAAAAAGTATTAATAAATAATACAAAATAATATAAAGTTGTTGATTTGAAAAATGTTATTAGTACTCAATATCACACACTCAATAACAGTTATTAGTAATAACTTATTACGGATATCAAGTAGGGTGACCAGAAGTTAGTAGCAAATTGGAGGACATTTGCTAAAATTTTAGAACCCGACTGATGTTTATCGGACATTATATAATCCTCCCTATGATTAGCTGGGAACGTCTGGTCACCCTATCTGCGAGTGTGAGTAATAATTACACTATTAGCAAACACTAGTACAGACCTTGCGGTATATAAGAGCGCAACAGGCGGCCCGGATCCTAACCCCCACTTTTGTTTTATAAATATTATTCAAATGTAGAATGAACATTTTCGCAATGGCTGCTAACACAATACCCACGGCTGCCCACTGTGCCCACCACTGGCTAGTGTTGGGGTCATTGTTGAAATATCTCACCAAATAAGTGATACAATACGCCTGAAACAGGTTGAGCCCCAATTCCTGGAGATTAAAATTACACAATTAAAAATAATTGATTGAAAATTAGTTACTTTATTCAATATAATAATTATTGTTTTTAATTATTACCCTGATTGCATCGGGAATATAAGATACAATAAGTTCGGGTCCGAACGATGTCATTAGTGCCCAAAATAGCGATGGATTTCTTTTACTTTTGAGTTGTTTATTCCATTTGCTATCAAATTATTTTAATATTTTATACAATATTTTTAATATTTAAAACGTTAATAAAATAAAATGTTCATGTTACATTTCAAGCTTATGTCGGACCAGATGTGTCTCATCTGATTTTGGGCACCGGTAGACATCACTAAAATTAAGGTCTCTTTTGTGCGCCCGAATGAATAGACTCCACACCCAACTAATTGAAATAATTAATATTAATAAATAAAATATATTACAGTATAATTTTAATTCTTTATATTTAATTGAATAATAAATGTAATTAATGTAATAATAATAATAATAAAATTCATTAAATAATGTTTTTTTAAAATAAATCACCTGAATGTAAGTTTGGAGAATATGTTAATGCGATCCCATGGACTCGGAATGGTTACTAACCCCTCACTTACTTCCATAGTATTATATTTGTAACAATAATTCACATTAAAAATTATGATTATAATATACTTAATGAATTTAAATGATATGATTTTTATATGACATTTATAAATAGTACAGTAAATGTATATTTATATACAAATGATTTTTATGTTATTTTATTTTTAATTAGTAATTAATATTCAGTTATAGTATTAAAATTTTAATTAATGCTTTAGTAACTTAATTAACATTATAATACCTGTATAAACTTTATGTAAACACCATGGACTTACAAGTTAGTGCATAACAGGTAAGAAATTAAGTATATGAATATTAATTACTAATTAAAAATAAAATCACATAAAAAACATCTGTATATAAAAATCCCTACTTTTTTAAATGTCGCTACTGCTTTATATTTATTTATTTATAATTAAATATTAATCATTTAAATTGTTACATTATTTTATTATTAAAATAATTACAAAATTCATAACAATAAATTTATTTTTTGAACCCCCACTTGGCATGTGGTCCAAAGAGTGGCCAACTTATAAACTCCGGTGATTTCATGTATGCCTTAATCGCCGGCAAACTCTCAAAACGGGTCAACAAATGAACCAAATTTTGGTACTTATTGACGGTCTCAGGACTGAAGAGACGGAACCAATCGAGCAGTTCGTACGCCAAGAAGTCTACATAATTAATGTGATTACCGGTAAACCACTGACGGGTACCCAAAAACCGGGACAAACTGTCCAACTGTTGGGGCAGTGTTTCGGCGATGTATTTCACTTTTGCTGCCGGAAAGTCTTTGCTTAGCACCACATCAGACAAAAATATGGTTATAATGTCCGCCAACTGTTGATCCAACACATCCTGGCGTACGAGTCCGGTCTCGTCGGTGGCCACCAGTCCGTGCTTACGGCCTAAGTGTCGCATAATTGCTTTGCTCTGGGTTAGTTTTATGGTACCATCGATGTAATAAGGTAGGTTGGGAAAATCCAGGCCCAAGGTGAATTTCTCTTTAGCCCAGTTGGCCAAATGTGTATCAGTGCTCAACCTATCGCTTTGGTTACAAACTATAGTTGCCGGACGGGTAACGCATGATGGATAACAATCTTTACTGTAATAAATTAATTATAAAAGATTAATCTCACTTGTCAGTAAAAATTTCCTATGGCCTAGAACATTTTAACTATCTCAAATAACTCAAATTAGAAACATTTTTAATTGTTTTATTTTATTATAACTTTAATTAAACAATTATTATATATAAATTTAACTATTTATTGCATTAATAAATATATAAATTAATAAAGTACAATAATCTTAAAGTAGAGACACTTGATGACCATACCTGTCGTAATATTTGCTGTTAAATTTTAATCCTATATAAGCCAACAATAGGCGTATTGGTTGACACAACCCGCGGAGCTCATAGTATCCTAAGCTGGGCAATGATGTGTCTAGTGTTGCCAACTGGTCAAGGTTTGCCTTGATTTGCAAGGTGAGAGGGTTCTGGTCAAGGCGATAGGCAAGGGTCTCACCTTGCCATATAAAGGTCAAGGTGAGAGCAAATGTAATTACCGTATGTCTATTTTAGGTATTTATTGTAATAAACACACTATTTAAAACCCAGAATAATATTTATTGCCTATTTGTATAATAGCAAAACAAATCCTTTATTAAAACCCTTTCATAAGAAAGACTTTTATCTTCAAAAAGCCCGTATCTTATATGGAAAATACACTGTATTATATTAAAACTCAATTAAATTAAAGCTTAACTTAACATTTTGCTCATTATTCAAAAATATTTATAATCAAATATGCAATAATAATGGTGGTCAAGGTTTGGTCAAGGTGAATTTAGAAAATTTTTGCATTTTTCAAGGCGATAGTCGATCAGAGTTGGCAACACTAGATGTGTCGGACATGTTGTATATATTATAAATAAAAGTTAAAATTTCACTTGGTTATTTACCACAATTTATTAACTAGTAAAACTGAAAATAAGCTATTTATATTATGACGAACATCGGTTGATAACGGTTGCAAACAGGGATATTAATTGTGTAGTCTAACTATTACTAGACATATAAAATGCCCGCTCATCTGATCATGATAAGAATAATAAATAACATATTTCAAACTATATTTTACACTTAATAGTACTTAAAATTGCAATTATATAACATGTATTAAATTATCATTATTACACTAAATAATCTTTGGTACTTAAATGGCCATCAGTAGTAAATAGATCATACAACAAATAAATTATTTAAATTATAGTACTGTATCTAGCGTGACCACCTGTGCTCTATTTCAGAGAACAGTTCTCTATTTGGATCTGTATTTGGACAAAATAGAGAACTGTTCTCTAGTTTAAATTTAAAATAAATGATAGGAATGTACTAAATTTATTAAATACTAGCTTATTGCCCATTAAAAGGGGTATATAATTGCATACAAACTTTGCAAACATTAGGCATTTTCCATAGCGTTCTCGTGTATTGCTTAAGGCTCTGCCTGTAGGCAGCGATCAGAGGCAAAGAGAGTGAGAGAGAGAGTGAGAGAGAGAGAGAGAGAGAGAGAACGCACTACACGTACACTAATATCACTGTTTGGATATATAATAGATTTATTTATCTAATTTATACGATGATAATCTTTTTAAAAGAATTAACACTTTCTTGATTAACAATTGACATTTTTTATACACCTAACACAATAAATTTTACTTCAAAATTGGTATTAAATAATCTCGATTTTAAAAGAATAAAAATGAACGTAAAATATGTGTTCTCTATTTTAAAGGAGATTTTGTCAAATGTTCTCTATTTTTAAACTTAGAGGTGGTCACGCTAACTGTATCTATTATAGAGTAATTAAATGTTAATAATGTTAATGTTAAACGAATGTTAATAAGATCAATAATTTATCGAACTGTTTTTTATTTAAAACAACACACTTTATAAGTTTGCATTTAAAAATTAATAATTAAATAAGATAACTATTATATAGTATGTCAAAACATTTTTAATATTGATTTTAAAATAAAATTTCATTTTATAATTTGGTCATTTACTTTTTGAAACCCCATTGGGAGTGACCAAACAATGGCCAACTTATAAACTCCGGTGATTTCATGTATGCCTTAATTGTGGGCAAACACTCAAGCCGGATCATAAATTCAACCAAATTATCGTACTTAATAAATGTCTTGGGGCTGAACTGCCGGAGCCAGTCCATTTTCTCATACGCCCAGAAATCTACATAATTAATGTGATTACCGGTAAACCACTGACGGGTACCCAAAAACCGGGACAACGCGTCCAACTGTTGGGGCAGTGTTTCGGCCAAATATTTGTCTTTAAGTGTTTCAAAGTCTGGACTAAAACACAAGTGGACGACAAACGCGAACCTAATGTCCACCAACTGTTGCTCCAACACATCCTGTCGTGTGAGTCCGGTCTCGTCGGTGGCCACCAGTCCGTGCTTACGGCCCAAGTATCGCATAATGGCAACGCTCTGGCTCAGTTTGACATTGCCATCAATGTAGTATGGTAAATTTGGAAAGTCCATGCCCAGGCTGTCTCGCTCTGCCCACCAATCACCCTTATACTCTTCAACAGTGGTGGCACCGGGTCTGTCGTAGTGCCTGTCCGTGAACTTCACCCCCTTATACGCCAACAACAGCCGTATGGGTTGAGCCAACGCCCGTACGCTATAGTAGCCAACGGTGGGTACAGTTGTGTCGGACATGTTGTATGTCTCCTAATGTTGTGTTTAATAAATTTGTAAAAAGTTGTTTTTAAAACTTATGTTGTTTTCAAACAATGATATATTTTTTCGCTGTTAAATGCCTGCTATTTATACCGATATGGTTGACAAACTAAACAACGCGCGCAACCTTGATTAATATATCGTAGAGGTAAGTGATATATATTTTTACCTTATTTGGGCACAGATTACGCTCTATGCACACGTACTGTCTCATTCATATAACACAATAATTGCATATTATGTACATAAAAGGTAATGTTTTGTAAATATAAATTATATAAGCTTAATTTTTCATGTTAAGTCGTTTCATTGAACACATACCTAACAATTACATTAAATCTGTATGATTTAGATCAGTAGAATAACTCTGCATTAATTAGTACTGTGTAGTCTATATGACCGAAAAATGAACTATCTACTTTTCTTATTAACTTGGTTAGACTCAACACTACTAGTGGAATGCAATTTATCCACAACACCGACACTTGTGGACAACGTGGTCGGACCGTTTTTGAGCAGTACAAATAATATAATGCATATTTATTGTACGTGCATACTATGAATATTATTTATGCTTAATAGATTATAAAGTTATTACCTAAATTATACAACAAAATTATATAATTGATGCTATAAACTTTTATTTTCATACTGAATTGTAGTTAAAATTAATTAAACAGAAATAAAATTATTTTTTGATGATTTTGAAATAAATAGTAATTTTTATTTTTATTAAATAATGTTAATTCCATAATTAAAACAAATAAACTACATTGATCATTTACTTTTTGAACCCCCACTTAGCGTGCGGTCCAAATAGAGGCCAACTTATAAACTCCGGTGATTTCATGTATGCTTTAATCGCCGGTAAATTTTCAAAACGGTCTAAGAATTGAACCAAATTCTGGTACTTATTGACAGTATCGGCGCTCAACAGTCGGAGCCAATCGAGTATCTCATACGCCAAGAAGTCTACATAATTAATGTGATTACCGGTAAACCACTGACGGGTACCCAAAAACCGGGACAACGCGTCCAACTGTTGGGTCAGTGTTTCGGCAATATATTTGTCTTTAAGGTCCACAAAGTTTGGTTTAAACAATAGGCCAATCATGAGTCCCATCCGGATGTCCACCAACTGTTGCTCCAACACATCCTGACGTACGAGTCCGGTCTCGTCTGTGGCCACCAGTCCGTGCTTACGGCCCAAATGTCGCAAAATAGCATTACTCTGGGTCAGTTTGACAGAGCCATCAATGTAATATGGTACGTAGGGGAAATCAAAGCCCAGGGTGAATTTCTCCTTAAACCAGTGCTCCTTTAATGCTTCCCGGGTAACGGCTCCGGGTTTGTCATAGTAGATGTCGGTAAAATTCACGCCCGCATACTTCAGCAATAGTCGTATGGGTTGAGCCAACGCCCGGATCTTATAGTAACCAACGGTAGGGACAGATGTGTTGGACATGTTGTATATGTTATTTATATAATTAAACAAATTAACAAAATTTTTGTTATATTATATAACTTATATATAATGTTAGTTATAATTAACAACACAATGAAATAAATATTTGTGCCAACTATTTTCAAACTAAACATGTATTTTTATGCTAATAACTGTTGGTATTACTGTATGTAATACTGTACATTTACAGTATGTGTAATGTGTAATTGCATTATCTAACCTTAATTAAATATTATAAACCCTCCTTAATACAAATCAATAATTATCCCACGTTGCATATCATTCTCATTAGGTTTTTTGCATTGTTTTGACCTTGGTGTACTTATTTTACTTCTGTAAAGATTAATTATATCCTTACTATTCTAAATTAAACCTCAATAGAACAATGTACTAAAAGTATAATTACCTAAGACATGTAAACTCGATTAATTTATCTCAAAAACTTCAATACTGTTTTAAACTTACTCAATTATTTTTTAAAGTTGTACACAATTATGAAATAAATCGTAATTTTTATTTTTGAATAAACAATTTTAATTCCATAATTAAAACAAATAAACTATATTGATAATTTACTTTTTAAACCCCCACTGAGCATGCGGTCCAAATAGAGGCCAACTTATAAACTCCGGTGATTTCATGTATGTTTTAATCGCCGGTAAATTTTCAAACCGGTCTAAGAATTGAACCAAATGTTGGTACTTATTGACAGTACCGGCGCTCAACAGTCTGAGCCAATCCAGTATCTCATACGCCCAGAAATCCACATAATTAATGTGATTACCGGTAAACCACTGATGGGTACCCAAAAAGCGGGACAACGCGTCCAACTGTTGGGGCAGTGTTTCGGCTATATATTTGTCTTTAAGGTTTACAAAGTCTGGTTTAAACGAAAGGCCAACCATTAGTCCCATCCGGATGTCTGTCAACTGTTGCTCCAGCATATCCTGGCGTACGAGTCCGGTCTCGTCGGTGGCCATCAGCCCGTGTTTGCGGGCCAGGTATCGCGTAATGGCCATACTCTGGGTCAGTTTGACAGAGCCGTCGATGTAATATGGTACATTGGGAAAGTCAAAGCCCAGGGTGAATTTTTCTTTAAACCAGTCCTCCTTAAACGCTTCCCGGGTAACGGCTCCGGGTTTATCGTAGTAGATATCGGTAAAATTCACGCCCGTATACTTCAACAGCAGTCGTATGGGTTGAGCCAACGCCCGGAGCTTATAGTAACCAACGGTAGGGACAGATGTGTTGGACATGTTGTATATATTGTGTATAATTAAACTAATTAACAAAACTTTTTGTCATACAGTATATAAAACGTCAGATATTGTTTACAACACAATGAAATTAATATGTTTACAGCTTTACACCAACTATTTTCAAACTAAACATGTATTTTTATACTAATAACTGTTGCTATTACTGTATGTAATACTGTGCAGTATGTGTAGTTTGTAATTGCATTATCTAACCTTGATTAAATATTATAAACCCTCCCAAAATACAAATCAATAATTATCCCAAGTCGTTTATCATTCTCATTAGGTTTATTGCATTGGTTTAACCTTGGTGTACTTATTTTAATTTGTCAGCATTAATTATATCTTAACTATACTAAATTAAACCTAGAAATTGCACTAAAAGTACACTTACCTAAGACAGGCAAACTTTATTAATTTATTTCAAAAATTTCAATACTGTTTTAATACATGAATGCAAACATTTTTTGCAAGATTAAATTTAAGACAATTGTACATATTTCTTATACTTTATATTTAAGTCAAAAATTAATTTGTATTCACATAAAATAAATTTTAAAATAATTTAAAATGCTTGTAACATATGGTATTAATAATTAGAGCTTGGTCAATATGGGTATAAATAAATTATTAATGCAATGGTAAATAACTGATTTTTTAATCCAATCAATCATAAACCACTCTTAAGTAATTATAATCTATTATTACAATTTTGTTTATTAAGTTATTAAATCATCAATTTATAATTTCATAATTATAATATACATGTATTGGATAGTTTTTATTAGTTTAATAATAGAAATTTTAAAATTTTTATAATTTTAATTTGTTTTAATA